CAGGAGAGAGTTATATTATGGAAAGAGAGTAGAATTATCAGAATACAGACATTTAGAAGGTCCGTCTATATTAAAAGAAGAAGGTAGCGATGCTATTAAACATATAAAGAAAGGAAAGTCAACTGGGTCAGATGCAATTTCAGAAGAAGAATTAAATGTACTGGGGGAATTTAGGGTAAAAATATATACTTAACTGATGAATGACATTTATAACACTGGGTACATACCAAGTGATATGATGAAATCTGTATTTATTGCGTTACCCAAAAGACCAGGAGAAATTAAATGTGAAGAATTTCGTACAGTCAGCTTACAAAATCATGTCACCAAATTACTACTTAGAATTATAATAAGAAGAACAAAAAAAAAAAAAAAAATGGAAATAAGAGGAAGAGCAGTATGGATTTATGGAAGGTAAAGGGAGAAGTAACACAATATACATATTACGAACACTGACAGTTAGATTAATGGACATACAAAAGGAGTTATATTTGTGCTTTATAGGTTATACCAAAGCTTTTTAAAAAAGTTAAACATGAAGAGATGATAAAAATTTTGGAACACATCAATGTAGACGATAAAGATCTCAGAATAATTAGAAATATTTACGGGAATAAAGTAGCGGCCATTAAAGTCTGAAACAGGTTGGGTACTTTTGAACAGATAAAACAAGGAGTGCTACAAGGACGTGTCTTATCCCAGATCTTTTCTAGCTATTCGATGAAAAAGTTCAAACATCTTATAAAATCGTCTGGTTAATTACCCGGCACAGGTCTTCGGCTGTACCCTCACAATTCCCATCTCCATCTCCCAGCTTCGTCGGTACAACATTCTTGGTGTTCTAGACATCATTTTCTCCCTGAACTAATCCCAACTGAACATGTTTCCACCACATCTGACAGGAGGCTAAATGAAACCAAATTCACACTAACAACTTCTAAAATGCGTTCAGACAAGCATCTGTTCTGAAAAGGAACACAGTAGTCGAGAAACGCTCCAATTCTGCATTTGTCGAACTAGCAATATCGTGTCTGCAGGTAGAGAGAGATCCTGTTGAAAAAAACGGATTCTGCTATGTATATTGTGTCTGCGAATAGTGACACGAGTGTTAACAAGAACAGTTAATGGTCTCTTGAGATCTTCTTCGAAGACTTTCGGTAGATCTTTCGTAAAAAAAAAAAAAAAAAATCGGTTTGTATCTTAAGTTTGCGAGCGTCTATGTTTCGTCTCACTTTCATTCGCTAATGGAATTTCGTTTTCGGCGTCGTCATCAAGTATCTTGCCGGATGGCGTAGGGCATTATGCCACTCCACAGCAGGCGGTATTCGACAGTATGTTTTAATTTGTTTGCTGATCCGGTTTAGGCGTTATGGTAGAATGATTTCAAGAATCTTCTATCGTTGTCTACCTCTGTCTTTCTGTTTAAACAAAAATTAAAAACTTTCCGGGTGTCATAACATGCTCTAGTTTTTGTGTGCTAATTCTTGTTTGATTGTTGGTCTCTCTCTCTCTCTTTCTTTCTCTCTCTCTCTACCTCTCCCTCCTTTTTCCACTCTCTGTGCCTTTATCTTCTCTCTCGTCCACTCTCTTCTTTTTCGCCATGCCACTCGTTTTTTCTCTCTGTATCTCTCTCTCTCTCTCTCTCTCTCTATCTCTCTTTCTACATGTGGGTATTTGTATGCATTACTCATTCCCCCCCCCCACTGCCCCCCCCCCCACCACCAGGGTGGGTTCGGAGGCCCAAACTCCAGTTGAAAGTTCTGGCTGTTTATCCAATTCTGGACTTCGGTCTTTTTCCGGCACTTGAGGTACACCTACACATCCTTTGTACATGTTAGTTGCGTATCCTTTACAGGACGTTGCAGAACCAACCCTCAGCCCCTGGCTGTTGTGTGGTTTCTCTGGGCAATTTACATCCAGTAGTTTGCCATTGCTTCTGGACGGTCGGCTTTCTTGATACCACTGTCGAAACCAACGCAAGGCGCAATGCCCGCAGCTGGGATCGAACCTGGCATCCCGGCATTACGAAGCGAAGCGTTCGCATCGACTTAGCCACAGAGCCAACCCTTTGTACATATCTAGTTTATTTGTATGCAGCCAGTTGGTTTCTTACCTCTGGGGCAGATGGACTTTGTTTTCAACGAAAGTGCTCCTTATAAATCTCTTCCTACGACATGCTTGTTAGGGGACAGTGGGTCTCCTCCCCCCCCCCCACCCCCATATGGAGCCCCGGAACCCACACAATGAGTGTGTGCTCATATTATCTCTTTCTGTCTCTCTTTCCATCTCTCAGTCCACATTACTCTCTTTCGTTCTCCCCTCTCTTTATCTCTCTCTCTCTCTCTCTCTCTCTCTCTCTATATATATATATATATATATATATATATATATATATATATATATATATATATATATATATATATATATATATACATATATATTTATACCTCTTTCTCTCATTTTATTTCCAGTTCCCAACGCTCAATTTCAGACGCGCCAAAACTAATTTCACTGAGAAATAAGAGCCGCTATTATTTCATAATCTCATCATAACTGAACATGCTAGAGATCTCCAATACCCACTCCACCAATTGTATCAATAATTAGAGTAATTATAAAATCAATACTCTAAGCAGCCTATTGTTTCTTGAAGACGACTTCTTAGAGCGGAGGCATTAAAACAAAATCGCTCACCCTTCAAGTCGCTGAAAGGCTTTGGACCTAGACACAAGACAAGGATGCTCTGACTTTGTTGTAGCCAGAAAATTACTGATGCGAAACTGTGCTAGACTTATTTGTCTGTATCTTGGATTAGACGAGTCGACAAATTTCACATTCTTCACGTGGTAATTAAATCATTCTTTTGTAAATGCAACTATGGTCTTCTTCTTCTTCGTCTTCTTCTTCTTCTTCTTCTTCTTCTTCTTCTTCTTCTTCTTCTTCTTGGGGGGGGGGGGGGGGGGGGGTTAAGTGTATATATTTTTTTTCTCCCAAGCAGGCCGCCGTAATACACACGAAGAATAAGTACAGTAAAAAAGGACATGTAACAATCAATCAACCTGTCTAAAGCGAAACTACAGGGCTCGAAAGAGAGGATGAGTGGAATGGGCCGTCCAAGAAAGCTCTGGATACAGAATCTGGCTGGACAGGCAGACCTCAAACATGTAAACACCAAGCTGCATCTAACCTGCACAGACGGATGACACTGATCAGACAGTCAACCGCTTCTTCTTCTTCCTCTTCTTCTTCTTTCATTAGCTTGATATAGATTATCTATATCTGCAAATCTAACCCAACCACACATAGTGTAAGACTGGCTTTTCCGGCTTTCTGATGCTTTTAACGACCCCATAACATCTAGAACTGGCCCTAATCCTAACACTCTACGTCCCAAGAGAAAGTGCAGCCTAGGTCCCACGACTGTATGCAGCCTAGGTCCCACTACTGTATGCAGCCTAGGTCCCACGACTGCATGCAGCCTAGGTCCCACGACTGTATGCAGCCTAGGTCCCACGACTGTATGCAGCCTTGGTTCCACGACTGTATGCAGCCTAGGTCCCACGACTGTATGCAGCCTAGGTCCCACGACTGTATGCAGCCTAGGTCCCACGATTGCATGCAGCCTAGGTCCCACGACTGTATGCAGCCTAGGTCCCACGACTGTATGCAGCCTAGGTCCCACGACTGCATGCAGCCTAGGTCCCACGACTGTATGCAGCCTAGGTCCCACGACTGTATGCAGCCTAGGTCCCACGACTGTATGCAGCCTAGGTCTCACGACTGTATGCAGCCTAGGTCCCACGACTGCATGCAGCCTAGGTTCCACGACTGTATGCAGCCTTGGTTCCACGACTGAAGACGTAAGCTAAGTCAGCATTTTACAAACTGAAGACGATTTTATGCAATCTTTCTTTATTAACTTAGACAAGATAGAGAATTCTTGAAAGCTATATGAATCCTATCTTGATACACGGAAGTGAATCATTGGCATTTAGTAAATTAGTGAAAACCTATTTTGAAGATGCAGTGAGAAATGTTGAAAATATCATCGGCAGAGAAGACTGTTGATACTATCATCAACAGAGAAGAATATTGAGAATATCATCAACAGAGATAAGTGTTGAGAAAGTCAAAATCACCAAGAGAGGACAATAGTAAAAGAGAACTAGAAACATATACAGAATGACAGAAAAAAAAGCGAGACTCACAGACAGACAAAAAGGCGGACAGACAGACAGACAGACAGACAGACAGACAGACAGACAGACAGACAGACAGACAGACAGACAGACAGACAGACAGACAGACAGACAGACAGACAGACAGACAGACAGACAGACAGACAGACAGACAGACAGACAGACAGACAGACAGACAGACAGACAGACAGACAGACAGACAGACAGACAGACAGACAGACAGACAGACAGACAGACAGACAGACAGACAGACAGACAGACAGACAGACAGACAGACAGACAGACAGACAGACAGACAGACAGACAGACAGACAGACAGACAGACAGACAGACAGACAGACAGACAGACAGACAGACAGACAGACAGACAGACAGACAGACAGACAGACAGACAGATAGATAGATAGATAGATAGATAGATAGATAGATAGATAGATAGATAGATAGATAGATAGATATATAGATAGATAGATAGATAGATAGATAGATAGATAGATAGATAGATAGATAGATAGATAGATAGATAGATAGATAGATAGATAGATAGATAGATAGATAGATAGATAGATAGATAGATAGATAGATAGATAGATAGATAGATAGATAGATAGATAGATAGATAGATAGATAGATAGATAGATAGATAGATAGATAGATAGATAGATAGATAGATAGATAGATAGATAGATAGATAGATAGATAGATTAGATAGATGGATAGAGAGACGGGGACGGGGACAGAGGTATAGAAAGAGGAAGGAATAGAGAAAGAGTCAAACTTGACTTCTGAGCCTGTACTCACCAGAAGACCTGTACCCGAACTTGACTTCGACCGCCGTGAGCAAAGTCTCTGGAATCAAGAGTAGAAACGCGGCCACCAGATGTAATGTTTGCGACAACGGACAGAAGTGCCTCCAAATCCTTCTCAGGCCCTCGTGCTTATCGTTGATTTCCGGCGCTGTATCCATCATGTAGCCCAGAGCATGATCCCGCCCCAACTTGACCCCATCGTTAGCCAGATTACCGATCTTGATGAAGCAGGTTATACAGAAGAAGGGCATCATTAGCACAGATACTATGGTTGAACCCAGCAGCAGTGTCGCTTCACTGGGGGTCCCGCCACCCCCGGGCCAGGCTTTGGATATGGCGTCTTTCTGTCGTTTCACTGCCTTGTAGCTTGAATATGAATGTATCCCCATGGCAACAAAGCAGTAGCAAATGGAAGAGAAGGAGTTAAAACTGGAACTCTGAGTAATTATTCCAACCATTGTGAAGGCGCTGAACAGGCAATAACCCTCATAAAGGTTCCATAACTTCTTATGTAAATTCCTAAGTGGTTTGTGATGAGTGTTCACAGACGGTTTCACATTGCAGAAGCTGTTGTCAGTAACCTGGTGGGCGAGCAGCTAGCAGCGTCAAGTCATTTCACTCAATCGTGGGATATTAATCTGCAATTCCAGAGAGATCAGTGAAGACGATCATCATGCGAAACCTGGAGAAAAAAGGGAAGCAAAAAAAGCATAATTGTCAGGAAGCCTAGATTTTGCCTAATATATATGCTGTTCACGCTGTTCACGCTGTTCATAATCTTTTTTATTATGTTTAATAATAATAATTTTTTTTTTGTTATCACTATTTTCGAAAGCCGCTCTGGTATGGCGGCTAGACGCTCAGCGAAGCTCGTGGGTTCAGAGCCGAACGGAACCTTACTTTCTCTTTGAAATGACCTTGCTTCCCACGTCGAACCAACGTTAAACAGCTAATCGGTAAACTTATTGAAATACAGGCAGTCGAATTGATGTTGACCACATCATTCACCAAGTGCTCATTGGTCTGTGAAATAGAGGTCTAGTCTTATATGCTCCGTCGGCTCTGTGGCTAAGTCAATGCGAACGCTTCGTAATGCCGGGATGCCGGGTTCGATCCCAGCTGCGGGTCTTGAGCCTTGCGTTGGTTTTGACAGTGGTATCAAGAAAGCCGACCGTCCAGTAAGCAATGGCAAACTACTGGACGTAAAGTTGCCTTAAAAAACCACACAACAGCCAGAGGCTTTTGGGGTTGGTTCTGCAACGTCCTGTAAAGGATATGCAACTAACCTTATATGTCCAATTTAACTGCATTGTATACACAAGTTTTTACCTCTCTGTCATCTGACATTAGTTCAGTATGCCCGAGGCATATCAGCCTATTACTCCGCATGATGCGAATGATCAATAGTGATTTAAACAGATTATCAACTCCGCTGTTGCTTCTCCATCTCCATTCCCTGCTGTGGCATCTCTGATGGATCTAAAGATTCGGCTTAAGACTTTGTTTTGTCTTTAATCAGCCTAGTCAGAAGCGTACAAGATAATTTATTGCGAGGCAATGCAGACCGATATAATCGTAACCAAATAATTCAAAGTGTCTTTTGAAATTGAAAATCTGAGACTAGTAGCAAATTGGCCAAATTGCAAGGACAGCACGATAACAGCTTAGCGGAGGTGGAGGCAGACACTGCTGCCTTCCGTTGGCTTGAGAATCAGCTGTACACACATGTCGTCATGATAACTGACTCACAGAGCATGCTGAGAAAAGTTGGAGACAGTCATGCTCCGTGCAGAGTGGCAAGCATCACTTCAGAGGTCCCGGGTAGTTATCTTTTGGATATTTTCTCCAGGTCACGCCGGTGTGGTGGGAAATGAGCAGGCGGATAGACTGACCTGTTCTTCACTACTTGGTGGTGAACTGATGTATGACAAGCTTGATGTTGTGAGGGCCCTTTGGGAGCAAGTGAACAGTGCCGAGAAACAGATAGATCATTACAATCTGAGGAGAATGGCACTGCGAGGAGTTACAAGGGTATCTGGCCGACGCTGGAAACTCAGGGTAGGGGTGAGACAGATATACAATCAGACTGTTACTGGTACCATCGGAATTTTAACTCTGCGCTTGCTGCTGAAGATGGGTGACAGAGCGCTTATGGGAGAGTCCAGAATGATGTGATGTCGATTCCTCATTCAACATTTGGTGTAGCGGCTATATGCTCGGCTGCGGATTAGAAGGTCGTGGGCTGAAGTCCTGACAGAGCTGGATTTGTTTTTCAAAAATAACCTTAGCTTCTAGGTCGACCCGACCTTAGATGGCTTCTGGGTACAGTCCTGGGAAGAAGTAAATGCGGTCGGTAAGATTTTGAACACATCTCTCTTGGAGTAATGATTGATATATAAAATATATATCTAGTCCTATATGTTTAATACGCCTATAATTTAATTTATGCAGTAATCGTTTGAAGCCACCTTGCTTTTGTCTACAGCGTAATTATATTTACATCAATAATGGATTGCGTATACAATCAATAACTTCCACATTAATGAGCGCGGTATGGTGGGGATCAAACTTTCTGTAGACATTACGTTACAAGCATCAAAATCTCCGGTAGCTGAAATGGCGTATGATGGCTTTCAGATTTCTCAGTTGAGGATTAATGAAGAAGAAACTTATTGACGACATCCGCCAGAAAGCTTAACTGGCTTTTTTCTTCTTTTTTTTCTAACATAAATGACATTTATAGCGACAGCTTTATAGTCAGTGTTGAATTATAATCTATTTTTGAAAATAATTAATCACACATTTGTTTACAATTTCAGTCTAAGGTATTAAAAACGATGTTTAAAATATTTTAAAGCTGCTTAGAAAAACAAAACATTAGTTGTTGAACCACTACGCTTCAGCCAGTGTAATAAATAAATAATTACTCTTATTACCTTTAAAATATTTATTATTTTAGGTCCGGGGTGTCGCCGTGGCGTAGCGGCTAGACTCTCGCCTACTGATCGGAAGGTCAAGGGTTCGCTCCCTAGTGGAGTCGGACTTTTTCAAATATGACCTTGGCTCCCAGGTCGACCCAGCCTTGAGTGGGTACCAGGTGCAGTCCAGGGAAGTGTAGGCGACCGGCGTGATGCTTACCACATCACCCATCTTGTGCCGTTGGTCTATAAAATATAGGTCTAGCCTTGAATACACAATACACCAGAAAGGGGTAGAAAAGGGACCTCTACTATGTTAGGTGGGGGAGGGGGTGGAATGATCCGACGTGGTTTAGCGGATGGACGCACACATGGGGATCTGAAGGTAGTGGTTCATATCCTGCCGCAAAGTATGCATACTAAAATTCTCAGTTATTTATTTAAACTACTCATTTACAATTATGCACTGAAATGATTTAGGCAATTTGTTCTTTGATAAATTTTTTAATTAATACTTATTCCAACGATCGACATCATAGCACACCCAGCATGCCCATAGATGCTCGGTCTCCTGCAGCAAATGTCTTAAGGTGTCGATGCTGATTGTTTCAGTGGCAAACTTTTCCTGCTTTCTCTGGTACGCTCTTTTTCACTGGATACATATTACATTTCAAAATCAGGCAACTTTAGGTAGGTAGGTAGTTGTACCCCACCAGGACATCACACAAGTGATAAACACCCGGTGACACAAAGTGCCACCATGCGGATAACGATCACCCGTGGGGAGGTCCCAGAAACTCCTTTCAGCCGTTAGGCCACATCTATGGTTAGGCCATATTTATGGCCCGGCTATATTCAGGGCCCCTGACAAAAGCCAGGTTGGGGCTTCAAACAAACATTGTATCCCACAAGGGAACGGCGGTGTCACCAGGTAACTTTACAAAAGTTTTTTTTTCCTACTGACATCAAATCATCCTTCATGAATTGATAATTTTTTTTACACATCACGTCATAATATTTACTCATACCATAAGATAAAACCCGCAGTTAAAACCCACTTTGGGTGAATAATATCCTAACAATTTGTTGCAAACCGGTATTTACGAGAAAGAGAATAATTACACTATATAATTTATTTACCCGCCCACTCTACAGACACTGTAAAATGTGAAAGCTGAGAGAATCCAAAGATTACATACAGTCATGGATCAATGTATACTCCTAATCTGTCTTCTTCGACCTTAGGAGTATGGAAAAATTATACATAAATATAGACATAAATATGTTCCTGTCAAGTAATATATATATATATATATATGTCGGCTCTGTGGCTAAGTCGATACGAACACTTCGTAATGCCGGGATGCCAGGTTCGATCCCAGCTGCGGGCCATGCGCCTTGCGTTGGTTTCGACAGTAGTATCAAGAAAGCTGACTTTCCAGAAAGCAATGGCAAACTACTGGACGTAAAATTTGCCAAGAAAAAAACCCACACAACAGCCAGTGGCTGGTGGGGTTGGTTCTGCAACGTCCTGTAAAGGACACTCAACTAACCTTATATATATATATAGCTACATATATGCTGTGCCTTTTATTTCCCAGCCTGGTCAAAAATTGAACCATTAAAAGTCTCATTTTGAAGAGCAGATTAGCATCCTCCACAGCAGATTCAAAGTCCAGAAAATTGCATCCGGTTCAACATTATATCGTTCGGTCTCTTTCCGAAAACAGCAGGCTGTCTTCCGAGATCACACAAAGCGCTAACTCTAAATCCAGCATTGATCACCGGGATCTCAGTAAAACCTTTACATATTATCCGGAACGTCATAGTCCGGGAAATGAATTTACGGCCTCAAGATCACAAGATAAATAGTTTAACCGCTTAGACATGAACACTCTTCAAGCATGATATCTTACTTTAACTCAGTCGGTCAACTTTTACATCAAACACTCTATCCTAACTGTTACAATAATTCCCGCTCTCTTTAAGTCTCAAATAACACCTGCAGAAACGAGCTTGTGACAAACAGAAGGATTATTAAAATGAGAAATGGAGAAAGACAATGAAAAAATATCTTGACAGTCTTTAGTCATAGCACGGAAAGGTGCCAGCATGCGCGTTTATACATTCTATTGAAACACGGCAGGCGTGGAGACCACCACAATCCACACACATCGGACAACAGGTTGCGTCGTCCACCGGGTTCTCCAATATACCTGTATTATACGGCTGAAGAGGGCTTCTAGGATTTATATGTTTCTTCTTTTTCTTCTCGTTCACCGACTGTTAACTCCAGAGAAAAGTTATGGTTGTTCGTCCACCTCTGGACTTTAGTCTTGTTCCAGGACCATAGTGTTACATGCGCATCCGTTTTACGGATCTGACTTACTTCTGTGCAGATGCTGGTTTTTTAAATCTGAGGCAGACGCAGCCAGACTTCATAGGAAGAACCCAGTTAGTCTACGTTTACGACATGCTTGTTGGGAAGGCAGTGGATATATTCTTATTTTCCCGACACTCACAAAGATGTAGGGAAACAA